GGCTCCTGTCTTGTTCCTTGTCTTCTCCTACTTCCTTTGTCTATCCTGTTTGCCCTTCTGAATGAAGGATTAAACATCTTCACTAGCTAAACAACAAGGAAGTTGTTTTAGGGCTATATATTTTAGTATGTTTATCCCATATTTTATGGCTAATATCCACCTATAAGTGTGGATATTGTGTGTCTTTCTGCTTCTGGGTTACCTCGCTCAGGATAATCTCTTCCAGTTCCCACCATTTGCCTGCAAATTTCATGATTTCCTTGTTTTTAATTGCTGAGTCGTATTCCATTGTGTAAACATACCACACTTTCTGTATCCATTCCTCCATTGAGGGACATCTAGGTTTTTTCCATATTAAAAAAGAAAATTCTAGATAACAATGAAATAGAGTTCTTAACTAAATGATTATGTTAATGACTGTCCTGGAGAGAAAACAGCAAATGAAAATGAGATCTCTCTCTCTCTCTTTTTTTTTGCCCATGTGATTTTTAAAATTTTTTCATTTATCATAATTTATTCACTTTGTCTCTCAGCTGTAGCCCCTTCCCTTGTCCCTTCCCAATCTTACCCTCCCTTATCTCCTTTCATGCCCCTCCCCAATTCCACTGAGAGGGAAGGACCTCCTCCCCTTCCCTCTGATCCTAGCCTATCAGGTCTCATCAGGACTGGCTGCATTGTCTTCCTCTGTGGCCTGGCAAGGCTGCTCCCCGCTCTGGGGAAGGTGATCAAAGAGCCAGACAATGAGTTCATGTCAGAGACAGTCCCTGTTCCCCTTATGAGGAAACCCACTTGAACCCAGAGTTTTCTCGACTACCCAAAGAAAAAGAAAAGGTTTATAGAAAATAACAAAAGAAAATCAAAATTCTTTTGAATTTCGAGAAACATTTACTTTTCTATGTATTTTCATTATCATACCTTAGTGTCACTTTGACATTGACTGTCCAGTATTAATTAAAAGTCATCTTAAGTATGACAGAATAACGACCTGTGACTCTGGAGGCTGAGAAGAAAAGATTAACTACCAGACCCAGATGGTTCACACAGGGAGATGTTGTCTCAAAATCACAGTCTTTAGAAGCACACCTTGGGGTGTGAATTCTACCTCTGTCTTTCATTAAAAAATCAGTAAGATTTGTAATTCACAAACTTTCTGAAAAAAGTCATCAGTACATAATTAATTCATGCAATATCCCATAAATATTATGAAAAAGTCAAAGCCTAATGAATAGTTAAAATTTTAATGTGTTATTATGCTTTGAATTCAAACCTATGTATATGAACCTTAAGAAAAAAAAATTAACAAGTGAACTTTTATATCATTTTGCATCAAATTGATTCCTTTAAAGAAACAAAATTATAATAAACAATGTACTTAAAATTTCAAAACACACATATGTATTCAAAATACATATAGAGAAAATGTTTGTCATCCATATCATGTAAATGCATATTAAAAATCACAGTCAGGTTACACCTCACACCTGTTAGAGGGAAATTATCAACCATCAATGGTAACAAGTGGCCGGGTGGCGAGGACAATGACAAGGAAGTACAGAAATAAAGAAACATTTTAAACTTTTGGAGGATGTAAAATAAAGCAACTATTTTGGGAAACAGGATGAAGTTTTTTTTGAAAAATGAAAATAGAATCCCTATACTTTATGTCCTAGTATTCCTACATCCTGTGTGTGTGTGTTTACTAGGATACGCATATCAAAAAAGTATCTGCACTCTCTTTATTTCAACATTACTAATAATAGCCAAGCTATGGAAACAAATTTAGTATCCTTCAATCAATGAATGAGTAAAGCAAACATGCTACATGTTCTAATATATATGTATTTATGTAATGAAATACTATACGGGCTTAGGAAATTTTGTCATCATGGATACATTTGGTTGATTTTATGATCATGAAATAAAAAGGCAAGTGCTGCATGATCTCATTTAAATGTGGAATTTAAAGACAATGATTTGATTGTAGTAGAATCAGAAGCTTCTCACAGTGGCTGAGTGGAGCACAGAATCTGGGAATCTGGGAATCTGGGAATGAAATATCTTACTAAACTGGTTCATTCAACTAGAGGAAGAAGCTTTAGTGAACTACTGCTCTATGTGTTTCATCATGCTATCTAGACACTTCAAAATAATAAAAGCATAGATTTTAACACCCTATGAGAGATGGCTCAGCAATAAAGAGCAATGCTTGCTCTTCCAGAGGATCATTTGTCTATAACTCCAGTTCCAGGGCTTCTGATAGCCTCACACAGACATACAGGCAAGCAAAACAGCAATGAAAATTATATATATATATATAAAAGAAATCTAACCAACAGAGATCTTATATAACCCCAATTGAAGAAGAACAAGAACAAGAACAACAACAACAAGAAGAAACAATTGTGATAAGGTAATGGATAAGTTTGTTAGCTTGATGTGCTGTTTCTATAATACATATTAAAGACAGAAATTAAATTAATGATGGGAAATTTTTTAAAATTATTGGTTAATAATGCCAAATTGTTTCCAAAGAGTTTAGATCATTTAATAGGTTTTTGAGCAATGTATGATTCTATAGGCCAAGAACAGAAGGGCCTATCTAACAAAAACCGTAGGGTTATATAGAGTAAGGCTTAGTAAAAAAACATTAAAGATTATATAGAATCTACAACAAATATCCAGAAGCAGAGTAAAGATATTTGGGAGAATCCATTCTGCACCAGAAACTTTTTGTAATAATCCTAATTCATCCATGTCTTGAGAATGGATGTTAACAAAACATTGCATTCCTGCTTCCTACTGCTTATTTTGTTAGCTAATCATTTCTTATTCTGACGTGCTAACATAAACACAAAGATCACTGCTAAATGACTCTGCATGTTCATGACTTTTAGCTATGGTACATATCTACCATGGCAGGAAGGACTTAGTAAATTTTAGTTCAAATTCCAAAGGAGGAAGGGAAGGTGTTAATCACAGCCCCAGGAATGGTTCTCCTGAGGACCTGTGTGCTATCAAACCACAACTGGAAGATGAAGATCACATATTCACAAAGGAGCCAGAATGAAAGGAATCAATGTGCTGGATGAAAATACTCACGCTGGAATTGCACAGTGTTACCCTTTCTTCCTCAGCGTGCTTTACTAAAAGTCTCCTACATCTCATTGTTCATGATTGAATTTTCATAAATGATGCACAATTTTAAATCATCTTTGTATTACTCATATTTATTCCATGACTGCTCTGTCGATTCCACTATTTGCCACTATTGTGTTATCATATTTTCTCAGTTTTATATGAAAGGTTTGATGTGTGCAGCTTACCAAGGCTCTCTCATTTGTTGCCCATGTCCTCCTCTTGGTGGTTGCCTTCTCATGTAGGTGACTTTGACATGCTCCAGGTGAAAGACAGCAATGTCTTTTATCATTTTATTCTCTCTGTTTTGTATGAATATTGGGAAAAAAATTCCATGTCATTTTGAGAGTACATCTTCAATTACATTTATTTTAGATTGTTTTAGAAAATTGCATGTAATGATTTCTTAAAGGAGTAAATGAATCTTGAGCGTGTGTAAGAAGTTAGATAATATTTCATTTTTGTTTCCTTTAGCTAATATGCACACCTTTCTTAAAAGGATAATTTATCTATTGAACACATTAGAATGTGTTATTCATGTCTTAGTGTAAAATGAATATATGATATATCCAGGGTACATCAGAAGATTTTATATCATCCCATTCAAAAGCTTCCATTTTAAGGTCAAGAGAGAGTGCTCAACAGTTAAGAGCACTTGCTATACCTCCAGAGGACAAGGTCTGTTTTTTCAGCACCCATACCTTGGTTTACAACCTCTTATAACTCTAGTTCCAGGGGAGCTTTTCATCTTCATAGGCACCAGCCACACAGGTGATATGTATACATACATACACTTATACATGTTAAATAAAAATACAGAAATCTAAAAAATCCTCTTAAGATAATGTGAATAAAATATAAACAGATGCCAAATAAAAGGAATAGGGTAAACTGGAAAACTAGAATACTCCATTTCAATACAAACACATTTCTGGACCAAAGCAGGGGAACTATGCCATGAATGAGAGTTTGGTGGGATAACAAGCAATGAGTATCTTCAGACCTTTGTTACTGTGTGCTGAGAAAAAAGCTAGGAAACAAAAGAGTTAGGAACATGAGATTGTTGCAAGATCTACGGTGTGAGTTACTAAGTTATTTGAGGTCTGATTGCTGTGGGAAAAAGACCAGACTTAAATGTGGTCATAGTGGGATTTCGGCCTATGAGCAGAAGACAGTACACAGATTTAGGGTACTCAACCTGGAGGCAAAGAGTTAGACATCAGAACCTCTAAACAGATGTATATATCATGCCTGTGCTAGACCTTCCTTCAGTTCATGAAGCAAAAGGGAAGAGAAACCAAGACTGTACTTTTCTAGGCTACTACCTCTCAGATTTTAAGTAGCTTCAAAAGCAAATATAGGGGCTGAATAGCTGGCTCAGTAAATAAAGTGCTTCTTGCCTTATAGGCCTAAAGACTATAGTTCATGCCCTCAGAACCCTTGTCAAGGCCAGTCAGGTGTGACAGGCATTTATAATCCCAGCAGACTCCGAGCTTAGTGAAAGACGCTTTCTTAATAAATAATGTGAAAAGTGATGGAAGAAGACACCCAATGATGACTGTGGGTCTTTATATACAGACATTTGCATGTGCTCTGCACATAGAAGCATACAAGTGCAAATGCAGACCATACCTAGACATAAGCAAACCAAACCAACCAAACCAACCAACCAGCAGAGACAGACACTGGTACAAACCAGGATTCCACCATGATATACAGAAACCTAAATGTGGGTGAGGTCAGAAAAGTTAATGAGCTGATATTTCAGGGGAAGAGATCCAAAGTACCAAATACTGAGGGCAGGTTCAGGAGAGCAACTGACAGAAAACTTTGATATTTGCTTGACAATATGAATACCACTGGTAATTTGATTTCATCAAGAGCAGCTTCCATTAAAAAATTATGCAAGTAGGAGTGAACAATGTTTGAAGATGTCAAAATGTAGGTTGGAGAGGACTAATAAGAAAATCTACAAATACAGATTCCTCTGCAGGTTACTAACTAAACACTGTTTTCAAACTCATAGCTTTTTGAGAGAGAGAGAGAAAGAGAGAGAGAGAAGGAGCTGTGTAGTGACTAAAGCAACAGGAATATTTTTTCCCCAATTTTTTTCTATTTTTTGTTTCAGAATAGAGAAACTGAGCCTTATTGTATGTTAGAGGGAAAGAGCCAGATCAGGGAAATAAAGGGTTAAGATAAACACAGAGATATCCTAAGCAAGGCAACAGCTTGTGAACTAACTATGTAAAATACTGTTGGATTAGTCTTAACACTAGAGCAAAGCCTTAGGAACGGATTTCTGTCATGGGAGTTGACTATATATAAGACTTAATAGCTAAAGAAAAGACAATGTGTTTGACAGATTTTTCCCAATGAATTAAAACCAGAGGCACTCTATGTAGAACATCTTGTTATAAATAATAATCCAAACAAGCTAATTACCATAGTTGACAATGAGCTGTAATGACAAATCTTTTTAAAAATATAGTACCAAACTAGTTAGGAAACACACACACTATCCTGTTACTTGAAAAGACAGGCCATGGGATTAAATCTACCAATTCAGATCAGGTTCTTGGAAGGGGAAAGACAAATAAAGATGGTGAAATACAACCTCAAATCTGAGTTTTCTCTGGGGAAATAAATCTACTGTATGATGAGCCATCGGATAACTACTTAAGATATTTATGTACAGTTACTTCACCTCACCTAATTCCATATAAGGCACAAGCATTTTGGTAATTCCTTATGCAGAATCAAAGAATCAACCATTGCTTCAAGCCCATTCTGACCACAAAATCTTTTTTTTTTTTTTTTTTTTTCCTGACCAGAAAATCTTACGGAAGATGAGAAAACGCCAATATGACAATATTTTCCATGGTGACAGATGTGGGTGACAGTGACATGGGAGGAAAGATATTTCCTTGGCTCTTCCTTTCACCCACACTGTGGAGCAGGACGGTGTGTCGACCTAGAGCTACGGTGTTAATTTTGGGCATCAACACTTTAGCATTTATAAGTGTCTCACCTGTAGTATGCGGAAGCAAGAAAAGCAGTATTGTTGTGTAAACCATTGACTTCCTCACAGAAACAGGATTTGATATGAGTTGAATAAACAAAACCGAAAATGCAGACAGCAGAAGTTAAACTGGGGAACAGCGTTAGTACCTCCAGGACCTCTCTTTAGGATGGTAAAGCCTGTTGATTGTGATAGCAAAAAGCGGGGCCACAGTTGCATTCATTGTTCAGTGAGCTTTTCTACACAGCCCAACCCACCGACAGCAATGAATGTTGATTGTGACCTTTGTAAACATCATCTCTGCACAGGCGAAGGGTGTCCTGGGAGCTCCTGCTTTAGACTTCTGTCTTCAGCAGACGCAGAGTGCCATGGCGACAATGGTTAGCTACAGGGTACAATCAACGGTCGATGGTTTTTATTTGAATTCCAAACTCACCGACAGCGTTGAATGTTCACTGAAGCAACCTCTAAGCCAGAGTTGAGCTGATTTTACACTATGTGTAGGTGTCTGAAACTGGAGGGAGGCAGAGAAAAAGCCCAGTCCTTTAACCAAACATGTCACACATTCTAAACCATTTCAAAAGAGTAAGGGAAGAAAAGAAGTGGGATTCTTCCAGTCCAGAGATTGGCAAGCCTCCACTCCATACTGTCAAAGGATTTGATTTTTTTTTTCAAAAAGAAAGGAGAAGGAGGAGAAAAGGAGGAGGAGGAGGAGGAGGAGGAGGAGGAGGAGGAGGAGGTGGAGGAGGAGGAGGAGGAAACACTTTTGGAGGGGAGGGGTTAGTTCAGGCTGTTAAAGACCAAGAGAATTTATCATTCAAAATAACTTAATCCATCAAATAAAAACAGTATCTAAGTATCTCATAATTTAAATGCTGTTGTGCATATCATAAGCATAGCAAGGATGCATGTAGATTATGCAAAATTCAAACAGAAACCACTTAAGTTTTTTTAAAATTAAAGTATGAACAACTGTGGCCCTCTATATTTATACTATGCATGAAACAAGAATTTAGTATACAATAGGGTTTTTTAAATTGATGTAATTTCCTTAAAATATACTTATTTAGAAAATAATAAACAAATTAAACCAATTCAACCCAGTTTTTATTAGCCTATGACACAAAATTTCAAACTGCAACGAAAACAAATGCAAACTGTACATACTAGTCAAGATTTATCTCCAGCCATTTGGGTTATTAAAGTCTTAACGTTGCTATTTTTCATGACTGAATGGACTTGGAAGTAATTTCTATCAATTTTCTAGGTGTTTTTTTGAGTATTTTCTATCTTAAATTAGTATGAACTGTGTTGAATATGTCTTTATAATTTCTTTCAATCATCTATTTTTAAAAAATGCCCCTGTATACTTCAAAACTCAGGTAGAAAGATACTATATTCTACCTAAGTAGAATTTTATGGGGCTTTAATGAAAAAAATGAATAAAAATTATAATCTGACTTTGAAGCTGTTCCTACTTTTATAAAAATTACTGCAACCATTCATAAAATAACAGTTAACCATGTAGTCTGAATTTTTATCATACTGCCATTTTGTTCACTTAGGATACTGTATGCTAAAGCTGTAATCATTCAGTTATCTTGTAGACAAAAAGTTAACAGAATTTTCTTTAATTTGTATTTTGAGTTAAATAGAGTAACGATCTGCTCACAATATGCATTCAGACAACAGATAGTCATAGGACACAAAATTGACTAATCTGATTTTCTCTGTGTATCTCCCTTTGAGATAAGAACTGTCCTTTGTAGCAGGAAAGTATGTTCTCCTGGGATCCTCTGTTTGTGTTATCAATTTCATGTAAACGTGTGTCACTCACGTTCCCTTGCTTGCTCATTGTCTCATATCCAGGGCAACACTTCACTATGTTTTTTACATCTCTATCACCTCTTTTGGTACCCACTATCGCTTTCCCAAGGATGCCGAGGTGAGACTCTGAGCCACGACCAGTGCCTTATCTCAAAATACAAATTTGACCTACAATCAAGCAACTTACATCCAAGTTACAATTTATAGCAAAACACAACAAAGTGAGGGGTTTCCAGAACCTTCTAAAATTCTCTGTAGAAAACTTAAGTCCAAATTTCTCAAATTCTTAAAATAAAATTATGGAGTATAACATCTTGAAATTCTTAGGAGATTGAAAGTGATTCATGTCAGGTAAGAAATTGGATTAACTATCACATCATTTACATATATTAGATTAGCCATAGAGTGAGTGATGATTAACTCTTATTTACCTGGAATAACAGATGTACTTTCTGC